AATAAATAAATAAATAAATAAATAAATAAATAAATAAATAAAATGATAAATTAAAAATATTCGATGAAGTCCCTTAGTGGCCCCAATTGCATGATGCCTCTGTTTGTATGAAAGGTACCTAACTTGTTTCCTCCTTTGCTATAGATTTCCAATGCACATAGTCAGCAGATGGATGATCTCTTCGATATCCTCATAAAGAGTGGAGGTAGGTTACTGGTCATATCAGCCCCATAGCAAGTATCCTGGTCACACACATCAATGACAGTTTTGTTTGATTTTTTTTTTTTTTTCAAGACATGGATTCATTGTGTAGTTCAGAATGCCTCTTTCTGTAGTTCATTGCCTGAAACTCTCAGCAATGTTCTTTCCTCAGCTTCCCAAGTGCTAGGATTACAGGTGTATGCCACCATGCATAGCTCCATGACAGTTTTTCTCTACAGCTCACAGCTTAGCTTTGGATGTTAAGAAACATCTAATTCCAACTGCTTTAAAATTTGTTAGCCAGGCATGGTGATATACTTGGGAGGCTAAGGCAGGAGGATTGCCTTATCCTGAGTTTGAGGCCAACCTGAACTAACAGGAAGACCCTATCTCAAAAAAACATTAATTAATTTTAAAAATTTGTTAAGAGCTTCCACAAAAAAAAAAAAAAAAAAAAATTTGTTAAGCGTAAGTCATTAAAACAATTGATTATAAATGGAGGGAAGGCCATTGATTCACCTTCAAGCAGTAACATGTTAAATTTAGCCATAGATGTAGCCTGCTAAAAAAAGACCACCTTCAAGCAACAAAGTAAAACCAGATTTGCCTGTCAGTCATTGTTATGGGATGAGAATATTCCAGTCCAACTTTAGTTCTGTAACAACCCAGTTGGACTGCATTGCTTTAATAAAATTCAGAGGCCAGCTAAAGTACTTTCTATATATAATATGAAATCTTAGCCTTGTAATATGTGGTCTTATAAAGAAATATTAGCCACAAAACCAAGTATGTCTTTGCCATAGCTTACACATCTTAAGAAACAAGTATAAAATCAGTATTTCCAAAAATTCAAGGACTAAGGATGTAGCTCAATAGTACAGAACTTGCTAGCATGTATGTGGCTCTTAGTTCAAATTCTTAGCACCACATATACCCCAAAAAATGTTATTTACTATTAAATTTACATTTAAATTACCCTGATGAAAGAAGTTTTATTTAAATTTTAAGTAGTGAGAGTGAAAGTTTTTCATTTATGGCAAGTGTTTGATACTGAAGTTAATGTTCTTTCAAAACATTTGGCATAGCAGAAAATTCTTGGTAGTTGACTAGATTTACGTGTACAAATCTGTTTTATGCTAAGAATTCTACAGGCTTTGAAAAATAATTTTAAGCTCATACTATAAATGAACTGAACATTTTTAAAATAGACATTCCATGCCTGGATTTTAGGATTTTTAAAAACTTTTTGCTAAATCTGCTAAAAGAAGACTTTAAAAAATTATTAATAAGAAAAATTTATATCTTAAACCTGGAAATTGAAATGTGATAAAGTCATGAAGCAATTTGATTTTCTCGAAGTGATGATTATTTTTTTTTTTTAGGACAAAGTATTCAGTAAGTGTATATTTCAATAATACAATATTATTGTGTACTGTTATCAGTAAGAAGTTTATGTTTTTGGTTTTGTGGCCAGCTCAGCCCGCCCTGGGGGCAGGGCTGGTGCAGCATGTGGTGCCAGGGATCGAACTGCCATCCCTGCACTTGCCTAAACAAGCGCTTTAGTCCACTGAGCTATCTCACCAGCCCCAGTAAGCAGATTTAAATAGTTTGTTTTAAGACTAGTTACTTAGATTGCACTTTAAGTTTTCAAACAATTCTAGAGATGATTACAGAGAAAAGTAACAAACTCCAGAAACACCATCATCGTCCCAATCATTGAGCCTTTAAGAGTGAGCATTAATTTTTCCTAATGTGCCTTTGTAATAATGAAACGAGTTACACCATAAAAGTGAAGATAGGTTAATCAGATATATGTGAGGGTCCGGGGATATGGCTCAGTGGCACAGCACCTGCCTGGCAAGCGTGAGGTCCTGAGTTCCATTCCTGGTATCAAAAAAATAATTATGTGCACATAAGTGAGCACTGGTGTCTTTAGCAAATGGTCCATTAACTTGCCACTTGATGTGGCAAAGAATAACATATAACCAGTGCTTATTAAGAGTTCATATAAATTTAGAAAACAAAACCAAAAAAAGAAGCAAATGATTCACTTTCTCTTACAAAAGTTAAAGGATCTTTAATTAGCTTTAATTCAGAAATTAAATACAAAGATATTGCATCTTCCCAGAACTTTATACAGAATGTATATGGGTAAATTGGGGACACAGTTCAACTATAATGATTTTTTAAAAGAAAAATCTTTTAAAAGATAAAATCAAGGATATACTTTATGTCTGCATGAACTGAGGATATGCACTGCCGTCTTCTCTGTAAGGATCTGATGCTGCTACCACAGCTGGTTCAGAAGCCCTACCTTAGAGCCATACATGACTGAAAATAAGGACCCAAGAACTAAAATACCCAGAACCATTGATTCTTACCTGGTGGGACCTAACTACTTTTAATGCTTAGTCTTAACTGTAAAGAACTGGAAGCACATCAGAGTATCATAAACAACTGTTTATTGGTTTAACTAAAATGATCCCTCATCTTGAAGACTATCAATATACCCAACTAACAGCATTCTTTTTCTACCTCTACAATAAAAGTGACCAGATTTTCAAAATAGCAAAACAAATGCCCTAGTAATAAAAAAAAATTAAGTGGTAATAAATATTGACTAATTACTTAATTACATTTCACAGAGATTTCCCTCCCTATAAAAGAAGAGCCTTCTCCAATTTCCAAAATGAGGCCAGTGACAGCCAGCATTACCACTATGCCAGTCAACACGGTAGTGTCCCGGCCACCACCCCAAGTCCAAGTGGCACCACCTGTATCCTTAGAACCTATGAGCAGTTTATCTGCCAGCTTAGAGAACCAACTAGAAGCCTTCTTGGATGGAACTTTACCTTCAGCCAATGAAATTGCTCCTCTACAAACCAGCAGTGAAGACAGAGAGCCCTTTTCTCTGATCGAGGATCTCCAGAATGACCTGCTGAGCCACTCCAGTGTGCTGGACCATTCACACTCACCCATGGAGACTTCTGAGGCCCAGTTTGCTACAGGTACTTCCTGTCTATCTCTTGACCTTTCAGACTCAAACTTGGACAACATGGAATGGTTGGACATCACCATGCCCAACACATCCTCAGGGCTAACTCCTCTCAGCGCCACTGCACCAAGTATGTTCTCTGCTGACTTTCTAGACCCTCAGGATCTGCCATTACCGTGGGACTAGCATCATAGGTTGCCTGTCTCAGAATTGATGAGATTTCAGAACAAGTATCTGAGAGATCAGTTTTTAGAGATAGCTACCTAGTTGCATTATTGCAATCAAAATATGATGTCATGGATGGAAAGCTGTAGCCTGGAAACCAAGTTTGAAAACATTTCACTATATTTAGCAGTGAATTTCTGCAATTTAATATAGCACAGGGCCTTCTGAAAAATACACTAGTCCAAGAAGACTCCTCTGTTTTACCAGACTGCAGTAAAAAATGAAAAGTAACTTTAGACAAAAATATAAAGAGTAAAGTATGCAAGAAAATGACACTAGGACTCTGGCAGTCAATTACATGTGCGCGTATATGCTCTCTTTACAACCCTAAAAAAGAGGCAGGCAGGCAGCTCTTCTCACTGAACAAGGCTGTGAGGGCCACGAGAGGTCCCTGCACATGGCCCTTCCGAGAGCAGCCCGAGCCACGCCAGAATCCAGCAGGGTCAGACACAGTGGTAAAAGCTGTCCACTGCAGTGTCGGCTACTAGCTGAAGACTTTGGGTTCCATTCAGAACCTATGTAATCTTTTGTGTTAGTTTATCTTGTGACTTTTGGAGTCTTACTTTAGGTTTCCAAATTTAACTGAAAGATATTTCACCATAACCAGATGTCATGAACAACCCACTGTAAAAAGTCCGGGTATATTGATAACACTGAAAATTCTATTAGCAGCTCTCTGGGTTGATTAGATTGGTTTTCCTGTGTATATTAGACATTTGTATGTACATTCTGATGTTGTGATCTGTACAGCCTACATTAATTAGGGTAAGGAAATAGATACACAATGGTCCTACTTTTGGCAACTCAAAATGTTTCTAGAGTACTTGAGCCACATGCTTTTTTTTCTATAAAAGAGTTGCTGACTAATGTTCAGGTAACCAGACCCATCTCAAAGAACCAAGAAAAAGGCTTTAGCATAAAATACCTTCCTGAGCTAATGAGGTAGACAATAAGAAGTAAGTGGAGCTGGGGATACAGTTCAGCAGCATAAGTGCCTACCTGGCAAGTACAAGGTCCTGAGTTTGATCCCCAGTACCACCAAAATAAATAAATAAATAAAATACGGGGAAAGTCTGTCATGAGCCCAGGACAGTCCCACCCCAAGCACAGAGGAGGCTGGCTGTCCTTTGCTATCACCGATCCCTGGTTCTCCTTTAGCAGATTCATAACTGGATATTCTACTTGTGCTCTCACTGTGCTTTCAGCCTATGTTTAAAAACTGGAGGTTTTATTTTTTATAGAGAGAAAAAGTTAACGCATATGTTGAGTAGTTTCTGATGAATTTTCTAAAATGCCAACTATAAAGTTTCCTATATTTTAATTTAGTCATTGAAGTATATGTAAAATGTAAGTGAACAAAACTGAAATATTTTAAAGAAGCATGAATATTTTTATGAAGTAATAATACCATGCTTTTTTTTTTTTTTTTTAAATACCATGCTTTTCACTTGACTCTTGCTTAAACCCTGAGGTTAGGTCAATCCTTGAATCACTAAATAGTTAATATTCTAGTGATGTGCAGGTGGCTGGCTGACCCATTGTTTGGAAAGAATTTGTGAATTATTTTGGGGTTCATATTTGGCCTAAAGGTGATCTTACATTCAATTTTTTGTTGTCTATAAGTTTCACTACGTGTGAAAAAAAAAAAAAAATGCTTTCCCAGCATAAGCACCCGGGAGCCCTCTACCACTTGAAGCTTGAGGGGTTAATAGTACCCACATGCCTCCTAGCCATGACACCACTTTACTCAGTGGTGAGAGTTAAGTGTTTAGACATTGGTAATCTTGGTGCATTGGCTGTAGGACCTCTCTGTTAACTAGAACGGTATCACCTGACCAAGCCAGCTTGGGCTGACCATGCTGGAGCTGAGTGAAGCCTCAGTCTGTCCCTCTGACAGCGCCATCTCCAAGCCAGAGCATTTGATCAGGAAGGGGCTTTTCCAATCAGGCCTTGTCTCTGGGTGTTTGCTCAGAGCTTCTGTCTGGGGTTGTCAAGTCCATAGAATTGAATGGCTTGTTAAATTAGCAGTAAATACCAGTGGGACTGCAGGAAACAACTGAAAACCTAGTGCTGTTAACTTGCATTCAAGAACCTAGCATTTCCCCAATCCTGAGTTGTAATCTTAGATAATTTTCTGATCCTTGGGTTCCTTCATTACTTTTTTTAAAAAGGTATTGAAATTTGCCATAAGAAGGTTGCTCTCCAAAAACACAATGCCATGCAAAAAATGCCATCTCCTTGGCAGTTCAGTCAGAGAGAATAGGCTGAAGTGCCTACTACACACATGTGTTCGAGCCTTGAATGTCATTCTCATTGTTCAGAAAGTGAAGAATCTCTAGCTTATGAACCCACAGCTGCTGTCTCACTCGACCATTCCACATGGCCCTCCTCTGCTGCCAGCAGATACCTGTGACATGAGTGCTGCTCTTCAGGACCCACCCCCTGTTCCACGCATGCGTGTGTCACGACCAAAGACCGTACTCTATAACAAGGCCCTTTAATCCAATTTTGTATCTTGGTAAATGCAATGGGAAGGTTGCATTTCCTGTAGGTGACTTTTGTTTAAGGTTAGTTTCACAGCCATTAAAGCACAAGTCAAAATAGCCAGTTGAATTTTCACTATGCATGTGTGTAGTTTAGACATGGTACTTTTGTGTGCTATATTACAGAGTATCTTATTGCCAAGAAAATAACCCCTAGAAATGTATTCTGTCACAACCCCCTCTTATTTTCCTGCATATTCTCAAAACATAGGAGGATTGACCTTTTCTTTTACTGTACATAGGTATCAAATCTTATTGGGGGTGAGATGAATAAAAAGAATTACACTAAAGCTTCTAGAAAATCTTGAAAGTGTAGGGGTATGAGGACATCTCACTCAATTTAGTAAAGCATCTATTAGGAAGCCTCTTAGGACAGCGTCATGTTCTAGTGGTTTCCTGAAATGTTTCATCTACTTAATAGGATTTGCTACATAATTGTACACAGATGCATTCTGAATTTGTGAAAATATTTGCTAAGATACTATTTCAGTTCATTTCATGTGAATATTTTAGTAATACTAAGAGGTCTTGTTTAAACTTCCTTTTTTAAAGTTGCATGGCTCTGCGACTGGTATGACTGACAATTTCTTAGAAACTGGGGCAAAGGCAGCCTGGTGTTACCCCAAGCTGCATCTCAGGAAGGCAGCGTCATGGAAATAAGATAGCACCACCAAACCGTGTAGTCAGCGGACACTGAGTGACACCTAAGAGCATGTTACCCACTTTATCACTGAAGCTGACTCAGGTTTCCTTTGCCCTCAGCCTCTGATCATAACAGGTTTCTTCAGGGTCTTTTCAGAATTCCCAGGCAGAAACCAACCACAACAGCTGACCAAGCAGCTGTCCTCACAGTGACAGGGCAGTCCTTTTCCTGTCTTCAGAAGGACTTGGCTATAGTGAAGCGGCAAAGCACTCTGGCAAGGTTGAAACTATCTGAGAGGAGCCTACACTTCAGCATACACTTTCATGCCACTTCTGCAGGCTCTGGTAGAGGCTGCCTCATGTGAGGAGCTCCTGGTACTGCTGGAGACTTCAGAGAAATGGAAAGATAATAGCAGTTCAGTATACCAGCAGAACAACACAGAGTAACCAAACTCACAAATAACCCTACTGCTTACTGTCACTGTACACGTGAATGCTGAGTACTGGCACACATTGACCCACTGCCCTAGAGTACATGAAATTAGCCCAAGCAAGCCAAGACCATTAACTGGAAGGTCAGGTTTACCAAGAAACACAGCTTACCAGTGCATAAATGTGTATTTGGAGAGTATCCTACCTGTATTTCAGCTGAACTTTTAAGTGATTTCAATCAAAACTGGAATAATAACGAGAAGTAATTCTTTTCCTGGTTCAAACCTTCGATCATTTGCTCCTTGAACAATCTTTCTTGCTTTTATTTGTAAATGACTATCTACTGGTGATAAGCAGGTCCCATTTATTCCCCACTTAGCCTTTCTTACAGTATCTGAAGAAATGCACCGTTGCAAAGGATTTCTACCTGAACTCTCATTGAAGGCCTGTAATTCAAAAAGCTGCACATGTTTACAAAAGAGCTCTCATCCTCCACACACATACACTGCTCTGTGAATCATGATTGGAAAATTTCAGTTTTAAGACAACAGGATGGCAATCTGAGATCCACAAGGTGCTGTCTAGAGTCATAATCTATGTTAATAACATAATCTATGTTATTGGAGATGTCAACACAGCCATAGTAGGTAACAGAGCTTTATGCCAACTGCTAAGATAAAGCTTTAACGAAGTTTAGAGAATCACCGAATGCATAACAATTACCTCTCTACTTTTTGCTATAAAGAATCTTGTTAATTTGCTAGGAAAAGGAAACATTTAGGGAAGACTGTAGTATCTACCAAAAGTACTTGACCTCAAGTAATCAATAGTAATGCACAATGCTTTAAAGGAACCAAAGGCATTGCCAAGTATTTGCCAAATGGGGGCACTTTTTATTTAAAATTTGAGACTAATGAGATCTCAAAAATCAGTCCCAAGAAGGTATTATCCATTTAAAGTTATAATTTTCACAAAGATGTAGATATTTCTCTCTTGTTTTCATGTAAAATAGTATAGAGTTGTTTTGTTGGTTTGAGAATAATACATATTTGGTAGTATTACAAAGTTTTTTTCTTTTCTGTGTAGAAATTAGTTTTCTTGCTTGAAATAGAAATGCAATGTAATAGATATTTCTCTTATTTTCATTGTCACATTATGTCTTAGCATCTCACTTTATGAAAAAGAGGAGAAAGATACCAATCTGCAGAGCCCTGCTTCTTAAAAGCACTAGCTTAATAAAAAGTTATGGCTGCTGGGGGTCCATTCATTTATTGCCTTTCTGTTGTTTCTTTTAAAAAAAAAAAAAACCATGATGCCTTTGTATTTGCTGTTTGCACCCCTGGAATCAATTCCATATCATGTTTGAATGCCATACATTTTGCACATGTACTGTACATAGGTAATGCATACTGTATTTTTATATGTGTACACATTTATCATCAGATCTTTTGTACATAGTCGCAGTATCGTAGATGATCCGGAAATGTTTGATATCTCAGCAATTTTGCATTTTTTGTGTTCCAAATAAAAAACATTTTGATGTATAAAGAGTTTTTGCTGTGTAGAGAAAATATATCCCACGGGTCAGTGAGGCCACAACAGACTTGTGAGATGGGGCAGATCGAGGAGGGAACACCAGCTTTAGAATGTAGCTCAAGCAGAGCCACAAAGCAAGTGAATCATCAAGGTAGGTTTTATAGATCACATGTAAGTGAGCCATATTTGCCCAGTCTGAAACCATGACGTAAAAAGCATATCCTCATGGAACATGTCAAGAGTTACACTAAGTCACATTCTGTCTCCTGCAGTCATAAGGAAATGCTGAATGAAAGGCAGTAAAGTATGCAGTTCTCCCTAGAGACTGATTAGATAGATAGATAGATAGATAGATAGACAGACAGACAGACAGATAATAAATAGACAGCAAAAAAATATGTATACACACATCAGTGTCTGGAAGCTAATGGCCACCACTTTGAACACCTACTGTAACTATAGAGGCCAAAGGTAACTTGTATTAATCCCATGATGTATCAATAAATTTATTTATTTATTTATTTATTTATTTATTTATTTATGTGCACTGGGGATTGAACTCAGGACCTTGAGCTTTTCCAGGCACTCAGTAATTTAGTACTAAAATAATTATACAAGTTTTCCTTTTCCTGATATATACATATTTTTGCAGGCTATAATTACATATCTGACTCACCCTCTGATAGTAACAAATATACAACTTGAGTCCTTAAATTTAACCAGCGTTCAAAAATACTGCTTATTTTTATATAGACTATATAAAATTTTGGCCTTTACAGTTCACTTGTTTTGTTTTGTTTTTATTTTGGTTAGGGTTTGGGGAAGGGGGTTGTGTTTGTGTTTTGTTTTGTTTTGTTTTTGAAGATGGCATTTAACATCAAGGTTAAAAATAGAGTACCATATTTTCTTCCTTGGAAGAAACAAAATGATAAGTAATGATTGACAACTATTACTTTCATAGCACTAAACAAATGAGACAGGCAGAATGTCAGCCTTCGAAAGGGGGGAAAGACAGTTGATTACATAAATATAGCAACATTATGACATTTAGGGCACAAGAGAGCAGCTTGAACATACCATTAAGTAGACAGTGCTTCCACAGGGCCATTTGTAACATCTCCTGTGTTAACAGAGATCTTGCCCACAGAGGGAGACACAACATTATTCATGGCAGAAAAAAAGGCATCAGGCTCAGTGCTGAAAAGATTCTGAGGGCTCCAAGAAGCAAGCAAGCAAAGGCTGTAGCAGGGAACTCAGGAGGACACCCTTCCAGCTAAGTCAGTTCCTTGCTGAACCTTTGGCCAGCCCTGCTGTGTGCTAGGCAGTAAGCAGAGTGCTACAGATTGGCCACAGAACAGAATCCATGAAGGAAGTACAAGATATTCAGCCTAAAAGGTAAGAGACAGTAGCCTCTCAAGAAGTCCCAGCCCTGGAAGGGTGTAGATGCTTCCCACAGATAGTTGTTTTCTTTAATAATACCAAGGCTTAGAGAACTTTTCAGATGTAGAAGAGAGTCACTACACAGTTTATAAATCCACACATTTGGTGATGACTGTGGGTAAGACCTAGTCCCCAGTATACTAAAATGCAGCATAAAACCAAGGGATGGTGGATTTCAGCATGTACACTGCTTGTCATTAGCAGTTTTACCTGGTCACATGATCCACTTGAAAGGTTCCCGTGTCTCCTGCAAATAGTTTCTATCTCTAATGGATTTAGGGCTGGGGAGACAGCTCAGTAGAATAAACACTTGCCTGGCAAGCACAAGGTCCTGAGTTCAATCCCCAGTACCAAAAACAACAACAACAAAAAAAAAAACATCTAATGGATTTAATTTTAATTTCACTCAACTTTGAGGAAGAAGCCTCATTTTGGTATATTTGATACCCTTTTGTGTTAATTTTAATGATAAAATGAAATCTGCACTAGGTAAGTAAGCAAGGACACTCGTTCATCAACTTTTTGAATGCCCCCTTCGTTAGGTATAATCATGTCACAATTATGATTCCTGTGGGACATCTGTTGGTGATGACCCTACATATGACAAATCCACAGTGTCCTCTAGCCCCTGGAGCACATAAAGAACCTTTGTCTAAAATATCTGGAATCTGGACACTTTAAATGCTGGCACTGCCCTCTCCAGAGCTGAAGTTTGATGGTAAGGAGGGACTTTCATTTAGGCTGATCATTAAAAATTTACCGTGATTCAGAGATTGAAGAGAAGGCCTTTGGGAGCTTTGGTGTGTTTTAGCACTCATGGTAGAATAGATTCCCAAGTAAGCAGAATGGCAAACAAAGCTCATCTCCATAGGGGATTCCCTGGTCAGCTAGCAACTGTATGACAGTTCTTTAAGTACTAGAAGTCTGCAAAGCTGGCTTTATTTTCTTCACTTGAATTATGACTAAGAAACTTGGAAGGTTAGTCAGGACCGTAATTACATTTGCCAAAGATACAGAGGCCAGCAGTAGAGATACCAAAAAGCTACTATAATTGAATGCTATATCCTATGTGTTCCTATGTTTATAGCAGCACAATTTGTGATAGCCAAATCTTGGAAACAACCAAGATGCCCATCACCTGAGGAATGGTTGAGAAAGA